CATTTTCCAGAGAACTGTAAGTGTAGAAAAAGATTTAATTGGCAACTACACTCCCAGCATGTGCTGCTGGGGTTCCTGAAGTCAGCGTGGATGGACTGAAGCTTTGAGACCTTTGTATTCCTGTTACCCTTCTTTTTAATATGGATTGACAGTATTTTTGTGCTACTACTGGCTGTGTTATGGGTTTAAAAGATGAGGTCTCAGACTGTTTAGACTGTGTGAGAAGGTGCGTAGTGCTCAGCCAGGTGGGCTGGTTTTTTTCCCCCCCCTAAAGCACCTTCATTCTGCTGAAGGTGGAAGCAAATGTATATTACATATCTAAGCAGACAAGTAGCAAAATGACAACTAAAATTTATACTTCTAGGTAGACACTGTCATTATATAATTCCAGTAGGAAATGTGGTATCTCACAAAGGCTTCTGATTTCCATCTATACCGGCTTTGTTCTTCTTTTGACATGTTTTGTGATTTCTAAGATACAGATCCTGTTGTGACCTCTCTCTGAGGCTTCATAAACATCTATATTTTGTCTGTGCAAATGTTGAGTGTGTTTGGCAAAAAATATTTTTCCTATAGAGGGCAAGTTAAACTCAGTGACAAGGACAAAAAACAACCTGGCAGTACAATTTGAATCTGCTTTAAAAATAAGGATGTGACTGGAAGTTGTCAGGAAGTCTAAGTTGGGCAAGAACTTGCTAGAGCATTAGAAGAGGTTGGTGACACCCTCTGACTTGAGAATGGTATAGTTTCAGCCTTGGAGAAAAATCTTCAGGAGACTAGAAAAAAAGAAAGGGCGATGAAGATGGTCTGAGGGCTGGAGCAGCTCCCATGCGAGGACAGGCTGAGAGAGTTGGGGGTGTGCAGCCTGGAGAAGAGAAGGCTCCGGGGAGACCTTCCAGCACCTTCCAGTGCTGAAAGGGGGCTACAGGAGAGCTGGGGGGGCTCTGGGTCAGGGGGTGGAGGGATGGGACAGGGGGTGATGGGTTTAAGCTGGAAGAGGGGAGATGGAGATGAGATCTTGGGAAGAAATGTTTTCCTGTGCAGGGGGTGAGGCAGTGGCCCAGGGTGCCCAGAGAAGCTGTGGATGCCCCATCCCTGGAGGGGTTCAAGGCCAGGCTGGATGAGGCTTTGGGCAACCTGGGCTGGTGAGAGGTGTCCCTGCCCATGGCAGAGGGGTGGAACTTGATTATCTTGAAGGTCCCTTCCACCCCAAACCATTCTATGATATGATTTTATGAATTAAGATATCTGGGGTAAAGATTCTGGTCTGCTGCAGACCTCTGACATCGTGCTTACAGCACCCTCACGTTGTGACTTCATCTTGACACCAGAGCATAAGCTACACACAGCTCTTAGGTACTCCAGACTCCCGATGTGAGTATCTGCATTTCAGTGGAATGGGCTGAGCAGGCAGATCTGTGTCCTCATCGGCCAGTTTCTTTCTCACCCTGGGAATACACAGCACTGATTCCTCAAACAAGTGAACTGGGAGTACACGTGCTAAGTACTACTGGAATGCTCCCATGCTGTTAGCAGAGGTCTTGTAAACACTTCAGAGAAAGCAATGTATCAAGATGTGCTAGAAAATAAAGCTAGGCATGCAGTTAATGCAACAATATTAAACACAGAGTGCGTGTGAAACAGTGAAGTTTGGGTTCAGGGTATAACAGATGAACAGAAAGCACGTGCAGGAGTGCTTGTGGCAGAAATCATCCTCCATTAAGAGCTCTTGCAGATGAATATGATTTCTTTGTGAAGATCTCATTTTTGCTAGAAGAATGTTCTTCAGCAGGGTTTCACTGGACAGAAACATATATCCTTTTTAGGAATTGACGTATTGTTTGAGGGTGAACAGTATTGCTTGTCTCAGTAGTTAATGAAAACATCGATTATCTCTAACCTGTGTTATAGATTGCAGGAGAACCGTGGATTGTTACAGACAATGTGAAAGAGGAACCAAATTGACCTGTATCACAGACTAGAAAAGTTTTTAGTTTTAATTAAACAAAACTCAATTTCAAAATTCTTGATTTGACAAAGCTGTTCAAACTTTGGCTTGAATCCACCTGCAATGCCAGAATTTTATTTCAATAGCTAAAGCTCACAGAATCATAGAATCAGAGAACGGTTTGGGTTGGAAGGAACCTTCCAGATGAGTTCCAACCCCCTGCCATGGGCAGGGACACCTCCCACTAGCCCAGGTTGGTCAAAGCCTCATCCAGCCTGGCTTTGAACAGCCCCAGGGATGGGGCATCCACAGTTCTTTGGATACAGTACAATAAAAATAAAATATTTTTTTGTTGAAAACTTGATTTAAGTCACAACTAAGGAAGTTTGAGAGTAAAATATTAATGTAATAACATTAGAAAGCATTCTTGTTTCTATAGCTGCCATGAAACATGGAACTTGAAATGCTAGAAATAAGTTTTATGCATTAGAAGAAGCAATACTGTCACTGGAATGAGAAGAGGGGTCCTCATCTCTGTATGTTCTTTGTGCAAGAGGAGAGGTGCCCCCACATCCCCTGTACAATGTGCAGCTCTTGGTCTTTGGCAGTGGGGAGGGGAATGTGAGGCACCCACTCCGATAGTCTGAGACGTAACAAAAGGAGGAGGATCTCTTTATTTCCATGTGGTATCTGTTATGGCCTTCTGCCTTTGCCATCTGAAAGTGAAAAAGTGTTAAAACTGTGTCAAATAGAATACATCACTTGAGTACATTGTCTTCTGTGAGGGTGCTGTAGGATATATTTTGGCTGTGATTCCTCTGTCCTCCTTGGTAGTTGAGTAGGACAAGCGTGCGTGCGTGTGCTCCTGTCCTCTCGTGCTGTGTTCCATATGGTAGGACAGATTTGCTTGCTCACTTGAGTTTTCTTAACTGCTCTTTCTGGGATCCTGATCCCTTGTGAAATGGCTTTTTTTTTTTTTTTTCTTTTTTAAAGATGGAGTCCTTGAGTAGGTTGTACAGCCTGTTGTTTTTCTTTAAAGGGAAGAAAAAGTAGTGAGCTGGAAATTTTGGGTATGTCTCTCTTAACTTTCTGAGAGAGGGGGAGTGTTTCTTGCATGTTCAAGTTCTTTGTTTGCATTTATTTGGGAAGAGTTTTGGTGCTTGAGTTCCTACTACTTTCCTAACAGAAAGAATTGAGAAAAATTGAAGAATTCTGAAAAATCTGTCAAGTACTAACCCTTGTGTCCTGCTTGTTGTCATTGAAGGTAGTCTTAAATAAACCATAAGGATGGAAATAAATTTCTCCTTTGTTACTTTTCAATGATGTGCAAGGAGTTCTTGCTTACATTCTAACTTTTACCATAGAGGACAAGTGACTGTTATTGCAGGGAAAGTTGATATTTTCTTTCTTACTTGATAGCAGGAGGGTACATCAAGAGATCCTGGTTTTGCTTTGACTGGACCTCATCGCTTTAACAAATCCCAAGTGGAAGCCATTGTGGTAGCAGAGAGCGGCAGCAGCTTTCAGCGATGGTTTTTTTTTTTGTGTTCTTCCAACTATATGACCTTGGCTATACAAAGAGCTTAAGAAATCCAGAAAAAACCCAAGAAGTTCTGTCTTATTCTTGGCAGCATATTTTTTCAGTCTTTTGGGTTGGAAAGAATGGCTGTTCTAGTCTTCTAGTAGTTTTATACTCTTTCTGTGTAGGATGCATGCTATCTTAAGATGATGCTTCAGTTCAGAGGGCTAAACTTCTGGAATTTAAATAAAACAATAGTCTCCACGTGTTTGTGCTCTACTGATTGTATTTTTAAAGGCATCTCAGTTTCAGCAAGTAGATGCTCCAAATTTCTTTGAAAGCTGTGATTGTTTCATGATGGTCAAGCATATGATCAGAAACAGCTTGCATGCAGTGATTTTTTTTTTTAAAGAAATCTTCATTTTTGCTTATTTTCTCACCATAATTTTTTTGAAGTGGTTCAGAAATTGTCAGTAGAGCTACAGAATTCTTCCCTGATGGTTCTTAATGTTGTGATATATCAGTGTTTAGCTCATAACGACTATAACTGATCCGAAATGAGTTTTTTTCACAATGGGGTATACAGTTTTCGATGTCTATATTGCTGATTTAAAATAGAAACCTGAATGGACCATTGCTCCCCTTCCAAGGATAAAGGAAGAGGAAAATTCAGGATGCTTTTTTTTGCACAAACCAACTTTTGGAGTGCTACCTGTTGTAGCAGATAAAGATATGTCTTGTTGGCTGTTGCTGTCTCTTGGGTCTTTCTGGTAGTGCCGTGGAATCATTCCAGATGTGGGCTTATGGATCTGGTGGCAGGATGGGTCTGAGAAAGAGAAGATTGTGTTGATTCGTGAGTAGAAAGTTGGAGTGAAACCAAGAAGCTTTTGTCTTCTGTGCCGGTTTCATTAAATTTTCGACAGTTTTGTTGAAATCTCAAACTTGATTGATTTAAAAAAAAATCTTGCTAGATGATGTTACTCAGAAGTTAAAATAAATTGGAGTGTGTGTGGAAAGAAGAGCCTGTGACACTTCTTTGCTGTACTGGTGTATTTTGAAAAGAGGTTGACTATTGTGAGGCACGGGTAGGCTTTTGATGGACTTCTCTATGTAATTCTGATATCCCAAGTGTACTTTTGGCAGGTAAGTAGTGGTAACTGCAATGCTACTAACAAATAGTTGCACTGGTCCCTGAGTCCAAAGTACAATTTCTTCTTTATATATTTTTGTAAGTAATAAATCAGGATATATCTTATATGTTATGCTATGCCCATATTAGCAACTTTTTGGAAATATGATAACTAATAGATAACTTCCCCATTTTGTAAATCCAGTAGTGTAGTAAAAAAGCTCTGAAGCATCTGAAAATTTGTTGTTTTTTTTATTTTCTTAGAGTACGTTGTTTTCCACTGAACACCAGACAGACAAATCTACCAGAAATAAGCTTCGCTCAGTGAAGTGTTCAGACTAATAGGAGTGACTGGTTTGCAGTAGGTAGCACATTTTTTAGGCAAACATTTCCTGTCCTTATAGATAATTTCAAAATGTCCGTATTTTTGTGATCTTTTTGTCCTTAGGACTTTATCTACCAGTGATGATGTTGAGGACCGAGAGACTGAGAAAGGCCGCCTGGAAGAAGCTTATGAGAAATGCGACCGGGATTTGGACGAGCTCATTGTCCAGCACTACACCGAGCTCACCACTGCCATCCGCACATACCAGAGCATCACAGAGCGCATCACCAACTCGCGCAACAAGATCAAACAGGTGAAGTTGAGCTTTGCATGCATCTCTCTGTGTACATCTGCTTGATAGCATGTACTCTGACTAGAAATTACTGCAATTCCTCTTTTTCCTGTGTACTGGCCTTTTGTTGGTAGTGTAATGTTGTAAGCTCCTATTTTAATGGTTTTTTTTCTCTCTCTCTTTTAGAATTATAGAATGGTTTGGGTAGGAAGGGACCTTAAAGATGATCCAGTTCCACCCCCTGCCATGGGCAGGGACACCTCCCACTAGCCCAGGTTGCCCAAAGCCTCATCCAGCCTGGCCTTGAACCCCTCCAGGGATGGGGCATCCACAGCTTCTCTGGGCAACCTGGGCTACTGCCTCACCACCCTCACAGTAAAGAATTTCTTCCTAATATCTTATCTAAATCTGCCCTCTTCCAATTTAAATCTGTTACTCCTTGTCCTGCCACTACATGCCCTTTTAAAAAGTCCCTCCCTATCTCTCCTGTAGCCCCCTTTCAGCACTGGAAGGTGCTGGAAGGTCTCCCCAGAGCCTTCTCTTCTCCAGGATAAAAAACCCCAGCTCTCTCAGCCTGTCCTCATAGAGGAGCTGCTCCAGCCCTTGGACCATCTTCGTGGCCTCCTGTGGACCCGTTCCACTAGCTTGATGTCCTCCTTGCCTTGGGGGGCCCAGACCTGGACCCAGCACTCCAGGTGGGGTCTCACAAGAGCAGAGCAGAGGGACAGAAGCATCTCCCTCAACCTGCTGACCATGCTCCTCACCCAGGATCCAGCTGGCCTTCTGGGCCGCTTGTCATCATTCTGAACTCAACTAAAAATGGAATTGAGGAGGCACTGCTACCCACCAATACTGAACTAGGCCTGATTTTTCAAGATGCTTTGCAGAATGGCTAGGAGTGGATCATCCAGGCCTGATACCGTGGTCACAGGCTATATCTTACTAGCAGCATATTTTCCATGGAATCTCTCTGTTGTTTGAGAACGTGAGTAATTAAAAAGCGAAATGAGAGGTGGATAGGAAGCGCAAAGCTTTGCGGTGCCCCCTGTTCGTTTATTGTCTGGGCATGTTGCTATCAGGTTTTTAAAGTCTAAGGGCTGCTAAGCTCTAACACCTTTCCATGTCATTTGTTTGTGTTTTGATATGTTGACCTCCAACCACCTCCTGAATAGTCTGGGTGATTCATCAGTTTGCTTTTTGCTCAGAGAATATGAATTTTGGTGCTATTTCCAAACTCGGTTTTGTTGTGTGAATGTACATGATCTCTGTGCCCTCGTATCTTTCTGTATTTTGAGTGCTCACACGTCGGTAGTGTGCCAGTAAATAACTCTGGCACTCTTTGTTGCGGACTTGTTCCATCTGCTCTCTCCCTGCAGTGACAGATGAGTTCTGTGGACTCCTGTCCTATCTTTTACTTCCCGTGGAGTTTGCTATACTGAAACTTTGCAAACTAAGCACCAAATTTATTCTGTGTGGTGTTTTTTTTTTTTTTTCTCCTCTGGTTCTGTGGAGGTCTCAGCTTAAAACCTTTCCCAGCAGAGCTTTAGGAGCAGTAGGCTTTTACCCTTTTGGGGCTATGTACCGACCTGCTGGCTTTTAAAATTCGTTTAGTATTTTCAAAGAAAATGAGACCATCGTGATGCTTTCCAAGGGTAAGAGTTCATTCTAGGATTTATGTACAAAGCTCAGCACTTTGAAAGCAGAGATCAATTGCACCTAAATTTGAAATAAACTGTAGCCAGTGGCCTCTTTTCACATAGTGTACTAAGCTTTGCAGAGGTCAAAACCAACATATAAGGGTGTGACCTTTTTGTCCGGCCTAGAAGAATTACTATAAGGGTGAAAGACCTTTTGATATTTAAGTTTTCTTATTAGTTTTGGTCAATATGTATTGAAGTAGCTTTGACCTCATCTCACGGGAGGCCCCAGATCTGGTTTGTCATCAATCTGTATTACACTGTCAGACTTTATTTTGATGTTCCCTTCTTGTGGAAGGTAGATGATTGCACGGGTGCTTGCCTGCATTAGGAATTTTGGAAGTGATAGTCCAGATCCCTCTGTGTATCTACCTTTTGTTGTCAATTCTTGCATGAACTCCTTTTGGGAAAGGCTTTAGTCTGGCTTTAGAGGGGTTACCACTGTAAAACTGAATTACAAAGTAGAAACCATTTGACCCACTAAGGGGAGATTCTTCCTTAAAGACTTGCTGTTCATTCCTTCCCCTGATCCCAGATGTAGATATCCTTGATGTTCTCTCTTGCAAGGACAGGAGTAGGAATGTCTTTTTGGATTCCTAGCCCTGCGATCGTTTTGCTGACCTAATTTGGCTCTGTGTAGCAGTAGCCCACTGATGATGGTGTGCTGGGTCAGTGAAACTTTTTAAATTAAGGTATTGAACAGGGATTAAGTCAGAAATCAACTCTCTATGCATTTTACTTTGCTTTTGCAGCAAGTTATGACCCTCTTACATTAGCTTTTCTGTTGGCTGAGGATTTTTCTCTGTTGTTCTTTTCAGAAGGACGTTTGAGTGCAGTGTTACTGTACTGAAATCTTAGTCTCTTCTGACCCTGGAGGCTGTTTTATCTAGCTATTTTGATTTACTGTTGGTCAGTCTGTGTTTCGCATGTTTTTTTTTTTTTCAACTGCCTTTAGATGGACAAGGTAGGAGAACGTGTAGCTGCAGTGGGATTTCTGGAGTGTGTGGAGGGCTCATTATTTAAAAATAAATTGAAGGGCCTACTTTTGAGAGTCTCTCTTCATGTGTAATTCAGTGAGAGTTCAGCCTGAGAAAAGGTTGGGCCCTAAGTATTCATAACTTCTCACAAAAATGAGAGTGGTGTGAAAGCGATGTGTGAAACTGTGTTGTTAATTGCCTCCACATTTTAATACGTATTATTGATTTGCATTATTCAAGAAATGCTGGGTTGTACTGACCTTTCCAGAGGATACTGGGAGAACCTGGAAGCAGGGAACGCAGGCTGCACATTTGAGCAGAAGGTGAAGAAGAAAAACTCTTGAGGTTTCCCAAATGGGGTATAATAGGAGAGACTTTGCCACTTTGTTTTCGAACCTCATGCCGTACTAACAATGATAAACACCAAGGTGTTTCTCTGGGTGACATAATGGCCTCAATAAATAAAGGAAATGCTGAATTTAGCTGTATCTTAAATGCTGTTTGTTCCAATGAAACTGCATCTCTTTAAAAAAAAAATAATTGGTATTTCTTTAAGGTATTAGGAAAGTGGTTGTACTCTCAGACAGGTTTCAAGAAATGGACACCAAACTTGAAGAAAGGAGGAGACGTGCCAGAAGATTTAATAGGCAGATGGAAAATGTTTACAGGAGATTAATTAGTAGTGGCTTATTTGCTTTCACTGAAAATTGGATTCTTGCTGTATGCCAAAAATACTGAATTGATGTTTTGGAAAATGTGCAAATAAGTCTTTGGCCATGGTTAATAGGATGCTGACTTTGTTTACTTCATGATACTTCAGTTAAATTTTCACTAGTGGTACAGAACTTCTACTAAAAAATATTTCACTATGAAAGCAGTGCCAACTTTTTTGTACTGTGGGCTTTCCTTCAGCCAAAGGAATAACCAAAAATTTTAAGGAACTTGGATTTTGTTGTAGTCTTGTGATATTTTTGGAGTTCCTAGTAAAGTAAATGTGGGAAAGGGCTGATCTGCGTTAGAAGCGCCAGTTCCAGGGACAGATTTAATTAGTCTTTTGACATGTTGCTTCTAGGTGAAGGAGAATCTGCTATCGTGCAAGATGCTGCTGCATTGCAAGCGAGATGAGCTGCGCAAGCTGTGGATTGAAGGGATTGAGCACAAACACGTCCTGAATTTGCTGGATGAGATTGAGAACATCAAGCAAGTGCCTCAGAAGCTGGAGCAGTGCATGGCCAGCAAGCACTACCTCAATGCCACAGACATGCTGGTAAGATGTGGTACCTTGTGCTGGGCCAGTACCCACCAGAAGCACACTGGGCAGCTCTCTGATCATCTCCAGACAGATCTGCCATCTGTGTTATTATTTGCTTTCTTTCTTGCTTAGTTTCTTCTTTTGTCGCTTGCTGCTTTCTTGTGTTGCAATTTCCATCTGGTTTTGTTTTGATCCTGTCTAACTGGACTTAGGGCCACAGTCTCTCTTCTTGTTTGGTTAGCTCTTATCTTTCAGAGCTGTCTTTACCTGTTTACTTGTCCTGATCCTGATGCCTGCTGTAAACATCTAGTTCTTTACCCATTTGATCTGCACGTAGGATTTCCTTCTGCTTTGGCAACCTGCTGCTTTATTTTAAAATTAATTTCCCAGACACCTGCCTGTATCATCTTTTTTCATTATATCTTATCAACTATATCAAAATTGTTTTTGTTATAGAACTATCATGTTTCTCCCCTATTTCAACTCCCAGAACACAGTCAAAAGTTCAGTCATTGTTCAGAGGGGAGACTGTCCTTCACCATTTAGGTGAAGGAACAGCAGCACGACCACTAGCTCCACGGCCTTCCAAAACCTAGCCTGGCCTATTTGCATCCGTTACCCCAAAGAATCTCCCCGCTTCTTATTGACCCAAGTGATGTACATCCAGTCTTGTCACTCTCCAGGATTCCCCTGGCTCTGCCATTCTGTGGTTGGCCTCGATGATCTTAAGGGTCTTTTCCAACCTCAATGTTTCTATGGTTCTGTTCTAGGTGTGTTTGCCTCTCATTGTCTTCCTCTAGGTCTTGTCCTGGTACTCTTGATCCTTTACTTATTTCCAACTCTTTTTTTTACAGCTCTTTTCTCCCTCCCTTCAAGTGTTTTTCCTTTCAGTTCCATCTCTTTTGTAAGTGTACCTTTCAATTCCAGTTTGAGGTGGAAGTTTCCTAAACTTCTCTAACAATTTTTTTTTTTCTCTTGCTTCTAAACTTAAGCACACTTCCTCACCAGGCTCCAGTCTGTCCTTTCCTGCAACTGTCTTCTACCAGTAATTGAAAACTGACATGCGGAGTGCTGAGTCCAGATCTGGGCTCTCCAGTAGAAGAGAGAGATGGTGTTACTGGTTCGAGTCCAGATGGTTAAGGGACAGGAGCATCTTGCTTATAAGGAGAGGCTGAGAGAGCAGGGACTTCACTTGGAGAAGAGAAACCTCGGGGAGATCTTATCAGTGGTTATAAATGTCTGATGGGAGGATGCAAAGAAAACAGAGCCAGACTTTTCTCAGTGGTGCCCAGTGACAGAAGAAGAGGCAGTAAGCAAAGACTGACATATAAGAAGTGATGTCTGAGCAGAAGAAAAAAACCTTTTTACTGTAAGGATGGTTGAACACTGGAGCAGGTTGCCCAGAGAGGTGGTGGAGTCTCCATCCATGGAAAATTTTCAAAACCGGGAACATCAGTAACAATTAAAATGTTGGTGCCTTCTTCTACTGATGGACTTGCCAGTTTGCTTGGTTTGGTTTTGGGTATTTTTTTTTTTATTTGAAAAAGTTATTTTCAGAAGGAAATTCCAGAAAAGTAGTTAATTTCCTATCTGGAGTATGAGATAGGAAGTGTAAGAAGAAAAATAACAATACTTAGGCTTCAAGATATAATATGCTTTAGAAATGGCTTGCAGTATGTGTATTTGTGATATCTTACTGGTCTGCAGTGTATTGTGTGCGCTCTTTTTTATGTAAACGCTTATGTACATATACACGTGTGCGTAGGTAAGGCTGAGATGGAGCCAGTATCAGAACTCACTAGAGTATGGACTTCTATAGTGCACTCTGCTGTTTTTTGCTGTTTGCTTGTGTGTTTGTGTTTTTTTTTCTTCAGAATAGAGTATCTTTTCTAAGAAATCAAATGATAATGATATAAAAAGCAGCTGTTAGTTTTGGGGTTTTTTTTTAATATCTCAAGGAATGCAGAGAAACCTCAAGTGAAAACTGAACATACTCTTTCAGCCGTTCACTGACACTTGGAGTTCTCATTTGAAGGCAAGTGTACCCGTAATAAAGAAATAGTAACCTGCCTGCCTTTGGAGCTTTTTCATAGACAAAAATTGCTTCAGGCTCATTGGCTTTTGCCATCTTCTGTTAACAGTGCCTCTTCAAGACCCTGATGTTGTAATCACTCACTGGCTGCAGGATAATTCCTCTCTCCTTTTATATGATACGAATATTATGTAAAATAATTACTAAACAGAGATGCAGAGTGTATATAGATATCTCTGTCCTTTTGTTTTGTTCCTCAAGGTAAACAGATGCTCGTGGCTTATAAAAAGCCTGAAGTGATCCGACAAGGAGCCTGTATCCCTCGCATTGAAATTGGAGCACTGATGAATACTCTCGCCTGTAGCCTTGTGATACATACAGTGGAAATTAGACCTTTGCAGTCGTCGTGATAGGTTGATGCAAGCACTCTAATGGCATAATTTCTGATTGCTGCATCACATTTCTGCAGTCTGCTCTTTGTATTTCACTCACATTAATTGAAGTAATTTTGCCGCTGAAGCGTGTTTCAAACCTCTGCATTTAAATTGAAATTTTAATTCCCTTATTGTTTGGAAAAGACAGCTGAAGATAGCTTGTTACAGGTTTCATTATCACTCAGAACTCTCCAGCTGCTGGTTCTAATGGGCAATGACTGAGTAATGCTGGGAAGAATTGTTAATAAAAGAATGGCAGCTTTTCCCAGTAGTACGAACACAATGCAAAGGTATTTTGTGACAGCTTACATTTGTATGAACTTAAAAATTTTAAATGCCAGCTTTTTTTGTTTCTAATTCTGTATCCATCCAGAGTAGCACAGATGAGCTTCAAGTATCACGTATTCACCTTCTGTGTTCTTCCAGCGTCTTCATAATAAGCACTCCAGCGAGGAGAGCTGGTAGGATCAGGTTTGCTGGTCTGTAATTGTACCTTATGCAGGTTGTGTTACAAGAACCTAGTTCCAACTTCCTCTGAATTGTGAAGATTTGGAGAAAATAGGAGGGTCTGGAACAGACAGAACTCCTGCTTGAGATGGAATACATTTCACTTATTTTAAATTTCTTCCTATGCTTTTTTTAAGGTATGAATTTTTACATTTTTCTGTAAAGGATCTCTTTTTCACACACTAAATTGCTAAAAGTAGCGTTCACTTTTATGTGGCAATTGAGTGCACGTGCACACATATGTGTGTGTTTTCTGTTTAACATAAAACATCAAAAGCAGGCTCCGGGGAAATGTTTTCGCTCTCTTACAACTACCTGAAAGGAGGTTGTAGCGAGGTGGGGGTCAGTCTCTTTCCTACGTAACAAGTGATAGGACAAGAGGAACTGGTCTCAAGTTGCACCAGGGGAGGTTTAGATGGGATATTAGGAAAAATTTCTTTGCTGAAAGGGTTGTCAAGCATTGGAACAGGCTGCCCAGGGAAGTGGACTTGATGATCTTACAGTTTTTTTTTAGACCTGAATGGTAGAATGGTTTGGGCTGGAAGGGACCTTAAAGCCCATCCAGTGCCACCCCCTGCCATGGGCAGGGACACCTCCCACTGGCCCAGGTTGCCCAAAGCCTCATCCAGCCTGGCCTTGAACCCCTCCAGGGATGGGGCATCCACAGCTTCTCTGGACAACTTGCGCCACTGCCTCACCACCCTCACAATAAAAAACTTCTTCCTAATATCTCAATCTCCCCTCTTTCAGGTTTAAGCCGTTACCCCTTGTTCTATCACTACACTCCCTGAAAAATGGTGCCTCCCCATCTTTCTCCCAAGTGCTGGAAGGCTTCTGGAAGGTCTCCCCGGAGCCTTCTCTTCTCCAGTCTGAATAACAAATGATTCTAAGATCCTAAGAGAGGAATTGTGATGCTTCTTAAGAAAAAGCAATGTGCGGTCTCCAAAAGGGAGAGCAGCAGAGCTGGGGGCAGAGCCACGTTGGGGTTGCGGGTACAGCTTGCACTTGGCCTGGGAGCACGAGCTTGCTTGCTGGAAAGCTGGAATCCAAATTCTCCTAGAAAAGATGTTTTAGATGAGCTACACAACACTTCAGAACTTGAAGCGGAGGGCACACAGCAGTGGGCAAGGACAAAAGGTTTCTTGCTTGGAGGAGGCAGTTCCATGTCTCATCTCCCCAGCGCTGGGCTGTGTGTAAGGGCGGTACACTCTGCCTAGCAGTTACTTAGCTATCGTAGAGGTTTGTGGTGTTGATCTAATTGTTCTGGCTCTACTGTTGATTCATGAGGTACGCACAGGGAGAAATTAATATTTTCCATTTGTTTGAATAATCTGAGATGAAATGCTGAAAACAGTTGAAGGAAGAATTGTTGTTGAATCAAATAATTAAAGGTCATATAATAATACGATTAAATGCAAATTGCTTAGGTTACTTTCTTTTTTGTGGCTAGCTTTGCAGTTTTAATGAACTAAAACCAGTTTGTCAAAGCATATAGGGTCTTTTTTAAAAAAATCTTTCAGTTCCAATAGACCATGAAACACTTACTCTGAACTTGATTTATTGGTGCAGGAGTACAGTTCCTTTGGGGTGGGGCTGTGTCAGGTAACCAAACACCATGAAACTGCAGAAATTTATCCGTAGGATAGGAGCAAGGATAACTGCTATTTCCAGTTGAAATTTCTTTTGTTAGGAGGGCGATAAGAAGGAAGGTAGAAAGAAGGAAGTATGGAGCCCTCTGTCTAGTCTTCACTGAAGTTTAACTTCACATTTGCTTGTGTTTCAGAGCTAGGAAGTGATGTGTATGTGTGTTTTACTCATGAGCACATCCTTCTTGTTTCAGTCTGCGTGTTTTTGTCCCAAGAAATACAAAGCTGAAGTGACAGTAATTTATTTCTCAAGAAGTAGGCCAGGGAATGCTCCAGTACCTACTGTTCTTTCTTTCTCGATGTTAAGGACTTCTATTTCAATTTCCTTATGTCAAGGAAAGAATAATATATGTCTCATGCTCTGCTTGCTGAAGTGAATAATAGCATCAGACTTTTTTTTTTTTCTCTGAGCTGACCACTTTCTCACTGCAAATTTGCGTTGTTGCCGGTTGGTTCAGTTTCTAGAGCCGAGCTAGTGGCTGTTATTGTTGTTGCATTCAATTAAAGGTACTTGGCGCAGCATCCAGCTGTACAGGAGAGGAGATTGCTTTGCAGGTAAATTGGGTCATTTTCAATCGTGCTGATGCAGCATAGTTAAATCTATACCGAGTTCACCACCTTATGATGCAGTAAATGTATTTTTGCTCAGCTCTATAGATGGTAAGATCTATATTGGGTTAATTTTTTGAACAGCGTTACTTCATTGTGAAATCTTTATATTGGGAACATACCAGTCTCATTTAGAGATGCTCACTGGCTCCACTGTATGTATGCCGAAGCGTTTTACAAAAAAGGTTTTGTTTTTTTTAGCTTTACAGCACAACTGAACTCCTTATGGGTGAGAATGTGGTCAGAAGTCAAAAGACATTTTAATAAGTGGTCATAAGGCTGCTGAGCCAGCCAGAAGGGAGAGGTGGCATAGGAAAAGGAAAGAAAGGAGAGACTAACCATGGGTAAGGTATTTTGGAGAATAGTGTGTGAGGACAAGGAGTCTAGCTTGCTGGGGGAAGTGGGAGTCAAACAGTAAGCTTAAAATATTGAAATGTTTTCTCGGGAGCAAAGAGAGGATATTGCTCTGTGTGTGCGTGGGTACACACACACGTATTTGCCCTCTTCTTGCTCATCCCGGAATCATTGTGTCCTACTCAGTATCAGCATCCCCTGCCTTTCTACACACCTCATGTTAGTCCTCTGCAAAGGCATTTGGAGTGATTAACATCTTCCCAGAAAACATTGGATGTTTGTCGCCCTGGGCACGGTTGTTGAGGGGAGTTTTCCTTTTTGTTGCTTGAATGTAGCTGCTACCTGTGGCTTTCCTCAGTGTAGTACGAGGAAAGTCTTTCAATTAAAAGTACCGTGTAGTGAGCAGACTTCTTAGACTAGAAGTAGTCTGGAGTAATGAAATAAAGAAAAAAATGCAACGGAGTTCTCAGTATGCATTTTATTTACTGTGTGCCTTTTAGCTGGAACAATGAAAATCAATACAAACAGGCTTTCATTTTGTTCCTGCATTTCTTACTGCAGAACTGGGATTCAGGTACTGCTGTGGAACAGCTTTATATTTTGACGTTAATGCCATAAGTGGAAATAAGAGACTTTTGTTGGTTTGGGACTCTATAGAAATACTTTTATTACAGAATTGAAATTTTGACACTGCTTGAAATTCTTTCTCCTGAATAGTAAAACTAGTAATATTTTCCCAATACATCTGCCTTTTTTACATTGTGTCTTGTCATTGTTGACCTTATTGATTACAGAGAAGCCTTTTAGAAAACAGAATTGAGAAGCTGACATCTCAAGGGTTGTATCTCATTTCAGATTACCTATTGAGGTGTATAAGCATTTAAGCTAAAAGGAACAGGTTTGTATTAGTTTCTAATGATTGGCGAACCTTGCGATTTCTTGTATGGTTGGGGTCCAGGGGAGAAAGAAGGCAGCTTTGTTTTAATGAAGTTGATGTATGCATAGGATATGGTCTAGTGATTCACATGTAAGCATGGAAATAATGAGCTTTCTTCTGTCTGCTGCTCATTCATTTAAAATACTCTACCTTTACTCAGATGCTAAGATTTATTGGTAGTATTTATCTGCCTTCAAGGAACAGTGTAAAGCTTAAGTAATTAACTTTGGTACAATACTTCTAAGGTCCTTATATGAGAAGCATTGGTGCTCCATGTTGTTAGAACACTTTCCACCTCTTTTCTGTATCTTGATTTTTTTTTTCTTTTCAGATTTGTTTTTTGATCTCTTTTTTTAAATAAACGTGGCTAGGTTTAAAGATGTTAGAATGTGGAGAGTTTCTTTCCCTTTGAAACTTCTTTTCTTTTTTCCCCCTCAGTTTACTTATCAATAACTTCATCTCATTCTTTTTATCCTGTAATTTCTATTATCTGAGGCAGTCTAGTGCATTAAACCCTCAGTGCCTAATATTGCTTCATTTGCATTGACACGTGCTTGACCTCAGCCCCTCCGCTCTTAGTTAATGCACCAACAAGCACTGATATCTCTCTGGAGTATTATCCTGTGGCTCTTAGCTGTACTAATAACAAGCATTCATTTAAGCTGATGAAAGTTTATTAAATAAGAAAACATGCTGTAATGAAGGTGGAGTAGAGGGGTCTAGCATCTTTTTACGGTGAAAGTAAGCTGCTGCTACACGACAAAACACTGTCCTTAATGAAAGGGAGAGGCGTCTGTAACGTTATCATGTATGCTTTTGGGAACAGACATTTCTGAACATTACATTTAATCCTTCCTGATTATAATATAGATGCAGCGATGGGAAGTTCTTTGCTCAAGGCAATTGCTCCTGCCATTTAATGA